ACATAACATAGCAAAACATAACATAATATAACATAACATAGCATAGCATAGCATACATCTGTATATATATATATGTTTTGTGTGTGCATGTTCGTGTATGTATATATATATGTGTGTGTGTGTAAAACTCAAGTGATTCGCTCCGTCATGTGCCGGTCACATGGACTGACAATGCCGCGTCTTGGGGCTTCTGCTCCGACAGCAAAGGCCCTGGGCTGAGGATCGGTTCCTGGAAACGCGCATCATCTGAAATCCGGTAAATCTTGACTTTTTGCAGACCTTGGCATATCTATCGGCCGCAAACTCTCAAAGGAGCTTTTTAAGACCCTCAGCCCTGCAAACCCGAAACTCCCACTCAGAATCTTCCCCCCAAAGCAAGTCTGCACCGCTTATGGGGACCCCTCTGCCACCACAGTTTTTTGATTCAAGCACGAAGCCACAGCACTCAACCCACTAACCCTCCTAAAGCAGCGAAGCAACTGATCCAGCGAGTCGTGAAAAGCCTTGTCCCCGGGCAGACGATGCTCTTTCACCTTCGGGTCTTGGCTTTTGCTGTTTCAGTGTTTGGAGGTTGGGGTTTGGGGTTCAGGAGTTCCAGGCGAAGGAGTTGCGAAATACACCCAAGACTCAGTGGCCATTCACACCGTAGAGTGGGGCCACAAAACTATCATCAAGGATCCTTTGTTAAAGGGACCCCATTCGTATAATCTTAAGCCTAAAGGGTCCTCCAAGGCATGCCAGGTCGGGAAGAGAGTATCGTCCCAGTCGAAAATGATGGCCGTCTCGCCTGGGGGGGGGATTTCATTGGGGGTTTGAAATTTGGTTGTTTTCCTTCCAACTTGGGGTTCAGTCAGCCCCTTCTGTATTGCTTTGGGGTTTAGGTTTGAGGGTCTTGGGTTTCGGGTATGGAGGTTTACGCCTTTCAGATTTGGAATGTTGCGGGCATTGGGCTTTCGGGCCAAAAGCTTTGGGGTTTGGGGTTCAGGGCTTTGGGGCTTCGGGTTCAGGGCTTTAAGCACTTCGGGTCCGGGTGTTCTGTTTGGTGATACAGGAATCTGAACCATGAGAGTTGGGGCGATAACACACTACAACTATACAGGGACGACGAGCGGCTGCTGTTGCAAGCTATTGGCCCCTACTGCTGATGATTGTTATCCTGCATTACCTTAAAGACCCTAAACTATGGGAATTGTGGCATCTTCCTTATTATGGGTATACTGCAGGATTTGTATCATCAGTCGTATTTT